CCGGTATCAATATGTAAATTACCAAATAAACCAGTATCTTTAGAAACAGATAGGGATCAATATTTTTTGTCTTAAGATGAACAATTAAATTTACTTAAACTACATCTAGAAAACTAAAGAGTTTTTTAATATCTTGGTGGTTTGGTGGTTCTATGGAAGATAAATGGTAAAATAAATAAAGGTAAAATAACACGCCGAACATATGTTTGCACTTCAGTTTGTACTCGCAATTTTGTTCTTGACATTCTCAAAATTCTAAGATCCCTTCACGTAATATTTCTCATCAAACATCGGGTTGAAAAAACTTCGGCAAATACCTTTGTGTAACTGTATCTTAAATTTTCACTTTATCTTAGCATACTGCAGAAAACATTTAAGTCGGGGTTATCATACTTATGACACACAGAATGATAAATGGTAAGGTTCCTCTAATCAGTTTGTGAAGTGCATTTTAACTATTACATTGCCATTATTCTTTATTGTGCGTACTATTTCTTCCATCGACTTCCACCAAAATGTAAATTGAATTTAAATAGTGAGAGAATTTTAAGTTTACAAAAAAAAAAAAAAAAAAAGATGGTGGCAGCCAAACGGTCTAGTCGTTTTAATCTAAGACGTACACCAAACCGACTTGCGTATTTTGCGAGTAAATCTGCAGCCGAGGAATTACTTGTTGAATGTCAGCTTCATGCTGTGTTTATTTAAAATTCCGAGTTACGAAAACTATCTTCCCCAAGTAGCAATAGGTAGTAGATTTGTTACATTTTTAGTCTGTATTAGAGTTACATTTTTTTAAAAGTGAAGGCAAAAATTCATCTGAGCAACAATATGCTAAATAAGTGCAAATAGATATTCTTTAAGGTTTAAAATATTAATTAACAAGTCCCATTTTGTATGACTTTCCTATCTTTACGGATGTTAAAATCCTCAGGAGAGTAAGGAAGAGATTAAAATTTTAAATCGGTGATGGCTAAATTCCGTACCTTCAAAGGATATTTTTAGCACTGTATTATGGATTCACGATCCCCTCAATATGATTACATTATGTTTATATATGCGTGTTATGTTATATATACGTATGTCAAGTTATGAATTTGGGAAGATATTTTGGCATAAAAAGTTTCTTTTCGTCTATGTAGTAAGTTGATTTCGTATTTATTTTAGTTCTTCTAACTTTCGTTCTTTTCTTGTCTTCCAGTACCTGTTTTACGTAATAAGCATCAGTGGCCTAAATTTTATGTATTTAGAACGGAGAAAAATTGAATAATTAGGTATCATTCTTTGGCAGCAAAATTTATTTCCTTCTGACATTTTGTGGAGCATATGCACTGCTATACACTATCTGAAAAATAATCCGAAATTCCTCAAAGATTTGTCCGAAGTGTTTGGTAAAGAAATTATGTTTCCAAATTTTTACAAAGATTTCAGAATCGCCTATCAAGCTTTTGAAATGAAGTATTCGCAAACATTAAACAAATTCGATGTAATATCTATTTAAGGTATTTATGATCGTAGAAAAATAGTTAACAGCTACCTTTCTTTCTCTATGTATATGGCATTTAAAAGAATCTACTTTCGAAGGATTTACGCGATTCAATACGTATTTCCTAAAAGATTAATCATAGATCCAGATACAGAAGTTCTTTTTCATAAGATTTGTGCAAAAAGCTTTCTCTGTTGGCTGTTCTGAAGTTTTCATTGCAAAGTCATACTACCATTTAATAGTCTTTTAAATCCTAAGGTACATAGTCATGTGTAAACTGCCTAATACGCATCTCCTATGCCTTGTGGTCTCGCATTATTTAAAAAAATATCCAATGTTTAGTGTCCAGGCTATTAGATATTCATATTTAGTAGCGAACTTGACATGCTAGGTGGATAATCTGTTTTAGGTTTGATTCTATGCACTATGTAAAAGGATCTTGTGAGGTATTTCTCCCGCCTTCCTAGCGTGCCTTCGTGGTGTAGTGGTCAGCACACTAAGCCGGTATTTCAGAGGTCCGTGGTTCTATTCCCGGTGAAGGCGTTGCTAATTTTTCATCTCTTCTGCTTCAAAAAATTACTTAATGTCTCTGCAATCTTACTTAGATTATCTTTTCTAATTTAAGGAATGAATTAATAAACCAGATTTTCGTAGTAAGAGAGTTTCAGTCTCACAACACATTTCAGTAAAAATGTACGAAATGTTATGTTTTCATACAGCCTCTCAGGGTATTACAATAGTAAATACAACAGTATATTGCAGGTAGTTAAACTAAAAATAATCCGAAAATTGCTGCAAATTTTAACGAAAAGGGGGAGAATTCGGCTCATAATATGCAGTATTGTAATGGGGGGAAAAACTTGTGATGTTGCGTGGCTTCAACTTGCCCTCAACAGTAGTAGTGACTGCTATGAACTGGAAATTACACAAACTCTTAAGAAGGGTTTAACTCCTTTTTTATTCCACTTTAGAAGTTACAGATGCGTTCACTTGACGCTCACAAACTACGCCGACCCGGCGGTTAAAAAAAAATAGAAAAGTAAAAAAAATAAAATAACGGGCTGATAATAAAAGAGGTCACTACCTACGAGGCTCTTGAACGTGACTAACTTAAACCGCGTTCTCAGATACGCTGAGATTTCAGCAACTTTCTGAATAAGAAGTTGAAAGATTCAACTAACTGCCGAAGTAGGCACACAGGCCGAATCGTGCGGTTCTTAAATTTCTACCTAGCAACCTTCACGCTCGTGAATCAAGAAAGCACACCTACAAACTCGTTTCTCTTCTATTTAACTCAAATTACTTCTGCTAAAATTTGAATACTCTGCACGTTCTACTAAAATTTACATACTCTGGCATTGGCAATTCCAGAGGAAAGTAAAGGCTTGACAGGAAAGATAGCTTAAAATAAATGTTAGTTAAAACAAATATAAACCCTACAAACTGTTAACAATTTTATTTTTTAATTTGTATGAAACCTTACTATTTCACTGCTTAATTCTGGCTCCGCGTAAGCAGCCGGACGACTTATAGCTTCCTCTGAGTCTTCCACTAGAATAACACTGAACTCAGAAGATGATTGAAAGTAAACCTTTTAACTAGGATAGAACGCAAAGAATTAACAGAAAACAAAGATTAAGATATACTTAAGTTATTACAGTAAGTTTTTAAGTAATTAAATATTAATTACTAAGTAACTGAAGTGTGAATTCACGAGACAGAACTTTACTGTAAGCTTTAAGTCAGGCCCTAGTGTAAACGCAGCTAGCCGAGGATAAACCCGATTTAGGCAGTCTAGAAAACTCAGCGAATATACTTCGGAGGTAGTGTACGGTCGCTGCCAAAAGTTCTTACTTGACTTCACGAGCTCTGTTTTTATATGCGTTAAATAATCTGCCTCCTGGTGGGAACCAATCAACGTAGCACGGCGGTCAAGACAAAAGTAATAAGTCAACTCTACTGTTTTAAACTGCTATTTTAATGACAAGCTATAAAACATATAATTTTTCAAAGCATTTATTTTCTTAAATGACACTATTTTTTCTTCAGGTATCAAAGAAATTGAATTTGTCGACCGATAAATCTTTACCATTCAAGGATATAAAATTTAAGGAAGATTAATTATTAAACTGATGAGTAGAAAAACGAGAAGGAGATACTATAAAACTAAATTTCATGGACTAGAAAAATTTTGCAGTTTAGTATTCCTAGAAATAGTGACTCGAAACCAGCGCTTGTAAATGAATGTTTTTTTAATATAAGGTGTCTGTCTGTCGTTTTTCAAAATGAATTTGTAAACTGTACCGAAAACTTTTAATTGATACTATTGTGAGAAAGTTTTCCTCGTAAAGCTTTTTTGTTTGTATATTTGATTGATTTTGTTTCTGATTTGTTTGAGTGATGGAAAATAATGCCGTGATCAATTATTTAAGGCTTATTTAGTCGTGAAATATTTCTGAAACACTCTGTATATGCACATACGTAAATGTTTTACGTGATTTCTGTTTATATATTATTTATCTCTATCATCCTGCTTTGCTTTCGGAAGATTCTGTTTGCTGTGCGTGTACTTTGATTTATCACTTCGTTTATGTGTTTCGATGCTTCGTTTATGTGTTTAAAGCTCTCTTTAAAATGGATTCGTTATTCGTCCAATAAAATCATTCAAAATTTATTTTTATACATGCAAATTTTTAACCGATTTTTTCAAAATTCGAATCAGATTTTTTTATTTTATTTTTTCGATTTTATCGCATCATTTTGAATAGTTTCATTCTTTTAGAAAAGGGGTTTTGGCAACATTTTATCATTCAGTTGTATACTGGACTGCTGACTGTTGAAAATCACCACTGTTGCCACTTGGAAAATGATAATTTTGTTCGGCTTTTAAACGTAATGTTTCTCTTGGATACTGGACGTTTGTTAAGAGAAGGCAAGCATTGCTTATTTTATTATAATTTTGTTTATATGTAATGCATTTTTTAATTTGTACTTTTTTTATTGTTCGGTAGAGTAAAATTCTGCATTCTGCGCAGTTTTTAAATGTATCGTTTGGTGTTCCTTTCAGGCATTTTTCCGGTATATTTAAAAGCCAGTCGAAGGCTGGCAGCTTAGCTGCTAGTATTGCATAAATATAACACCGAATAAAAATATAGAATAATTTTACAATAATGCTAGTTTCGATATCATCATTGTTTCGCGAAAGATTTAAAATAATTACACATATTTCACTCAAACAATGAAAACCTTTGATTAAGTGGAATGCAATTGGTTAATTGAATCTTTCCGTCAAATTAGAAAACATTCTTTTCTCCTTATCTGCATTGTTTATAGCATATTGTCAAATTAATGTATGATACGTCGACAATATGCAGCAAGCAATAGATATTCAAGAACACATTTTAACAAGTTATAAAAACCAGTACCTACACAGAAATTTATTCGCTACACTAATAATCTGCACGCAAAAATTAATAATGCATGAAATTAAAGTGCAGAAGATGAGAGAAAAACTTACCGAGAGGCATCGATGAAGTAGATGATTAATGACGCTATACTAAGTAGGAACACCAGCACCACCTTGAAGAAAAACAAATAGAAGTATATACTAAATATAAAAAATAATACTCATCACAATCTACTTTAAATTTACAATTTTTACTTCCTTCTACGAAGTAAAGCAAATACTGAAATCACGAAAAATTCAGAGTACCATATTTCAACGAAAATATCCATTTTGACCGCTATCGAATGCAATTTAACGATGTTTTTGCGTGACATCTGTATGTAATAATAGAATAATGGACTCTTTTTTTTTCCCAAACGAATTAAAAAACTGATTAAAAGAGATTTATATAATAAACTATATATATAAAAACTGATTTAAAACTGATTCAAAATAGACTTTTTCGTGGCGTCTGTACGTACGTAGGTACGTATGTATGTATCTCGCATAACTCAAAAACGAGTAGACTCAAAACGCTGAAATTTTGTACATAGGACCGCTATAACTTGTAGTTATGCACCTCTTTTGGTTGCAATCGGTCACACCAAAAGTATATATACTATATATATATATATATATCGAAGATTGAAGTAAATATATGAATTACTCATAATGAATTGCCTAATACTTACATTAGGAGATAATATACTCATTTATCCATCAGTAAATTTTTGTATTTGAATATACAAAAGGAAACATAATAATAGGTTAAAAATTAAAAGAAAAATTTTTAAACCCGTCCTACGGTATAGCTACAGGATTGAAATAAGGTAAACTTAATGTTTTTTTAGTTTTTGATCTCAAATGAGCCAGGAGAATGAAGCGTGTTTTCGAAACATATTAATCGACTTTTATGAAGCTTTAATTCATTTTCCCCTGATGAGTTCTGAATTGAAGTTTCAGTAAAAGGAGATTAGTTTTTTATATTTTGTATATTTTTCCTTTTCGCATTTTTTTCTTTCTCGAGTTTGTTCTACTAATGAATTCTTATTTTAATTTTGACATGTTTAGATATTATATTAAACATCTTATTTAATTGTTTTAACTGTATTTGATGTTTTATGTTTTTGTCTACATTTCAATTTTTAATGAAGATATTTTTTTTAATGTTTTGCTTTGCTGCGAAGTGAGAACTGAATTAATTGAATGAGAAAGATAAAGATATCTCTAATTAAATTCGAGGAAATAGTTTAAATGAAATACAGGAATAAATAAGTATAATTTGATATTTCGTACAAGGAAGTCATGTGGTCAGATGTGTCATGTGGTCGTTACAAGGAAGTCAAGGTCATCAGATTTTTTTGCTTTTTATGAATAGACTGCTCTACGATGAAGCATTCCTTTTTATACTTTCCAATTTTAGCGATCGTTCATTTTCTGTAAATTTTGAATATTGCGTCGAGCTTAGTTTGGTAATGATGACACATATTGCACTCTTTCAGCTCTAACTGTCTTTTAAATTCTGCGACAAAACAGTTTAAACTACATTCTGCTGATTCTGATTCTGAACCATGACATTCGAAACCCATTTTGTACTTCCTTGTACGAAGTAAAAAGGAAGTATTGTAATCGCGAAAAGCTTCAGGCAGCATATTTCAACGAAAATATCCACTTTGACCGCTTTCGAATGCAATTTAACGATGTTTTTGCGTGATATCTGTACGTAAGGACAGAATAAAAGACTCTTTTACTCCAAAAAAAACTAAAAATCTGATTTAAAAATGAATTCTGAAGAGAATTTTTCGTGACGTCTGTACGAACGTATGTACGTACGTGCGTACGTATCTCGCATAACTCAAAAACGAGTAACCTCAGAACGTTGAAATTTTGTATATAAGACTACTATAACATGTAGATGTGCACCTCGTATTTTGGTTTCAATCGGCCGCGCTAGACGTATATAAATACATTTATAAATATATCCACTCTGTTATCTGGTTTCAGTGATCTCAGTTTCTTTACTCTTATATGTTTGTTGTAAATTGTACATTTTTTTGCTTTAAAAAAATGATTTTGAATTATGTTGTTTTTATCTTCCGGTTAAGGGTTTTATGCCTTTAGTAAATCTGTATGCAATATTTTTAGAATTATCAAACAATTTTAAAATTGTTTTTAAGTGCCTCTAAGCCTAATTTGATGGCGGCCATTGCTCTTGTTTACATATGAAAACAGCTGAGTAGCGGATTGTTGCCAATCTTGAGAAACTTAGCTTCGCAACAACAAAGATAACGCCTTCATTTTTATTTAAATCATGCTTAATCCTTCTGGGAATTTTTTCGAGGAAAAATAAGCGTTTAAGATTTACTTGGTAATTTTAATACAGGTATTTTGAGTTTTTATGTATTTTTTGCCTTGTCTCGAGGTGAAAACTGAATTAATTGAATGAGAAATACTCAATCGTCTGTGAAAAACTGTTTCTTTTTTGTTTGCTTAATTTCTTTTATACATAGTTCTAGCTTTATTATAGTACTTGAATAGAACATGTGGCAACGATTCGATAATTCTTTAAATGATATAAATTTTGTGCATTATGAGTTATAATATGAACGAAATATAATACTGTTAAGTAAACCTAGCGCCAGAGTGTCTCTATGGTAAACAAAGGGAATTTTAAAGAATGCATTTATTCTATTGTGGTTTATGCGCTGTCGGCGAAGTAGGTTTAATTCAATCTAATAAGTTTAAATGAAATGCAAGAAAAAATGCGTATAATTTAATATTCCGTATAAGGAAGTCGTGGTGTATACATCAGATTTTTCTTCTTATAGGGTCTTGAGAGTCGCATGACAACGGTGGGTAATAAAACAAGTTAAATACTTTGAACAAATTATCACAGAACGCTGATGGTCCGTTAACAGATGGGACAGATAATAAATATCATATGCGTTGCTAAAGCAAAACAGAGAAATAGCAACGCTTGTTTAATGGCAACGGCAGATGCTTCTGATGCGGTTATTATTCATGACTTCTCACCACCAATCACGCCACCACCAATGTCCGGAACATTCTCAGCTGGACTATCGACAGTTGCGACAGAGCCCGATTTGATTTATTTAAAAACCTTTTCGTGTAAAAAAAATATATTAAGCCGCGGACCGTAGTTTACCGACCCCTGTTGTAAAGGAGTTAATTTATTAATTTTTTTCATTATATTGATGACATTAATTAAAATATTGTATTTTCAAGTATTTTTTCGTTGGCAACAAGCATGAATTTATTAAGCAAAAGGTAAAGAGCAAAAAAAAGATGCTATATGTTTGATATTATTAAAAAAATTAGCGATTTTTCTCCCTGGAGCAAATTACAAAAAAAACATATTTTCAAAAAACCAATATTAGATGGTTGGTATGATTGTTAATACATTGTATGTCTCCCAGACGATGCAATACAGTCCGTACAACGCCTAGGCATGCTGAGTATCAAATTATTGATCTGATCTTTGGGGGATATTACACCACTCAAAAAGCAATGCTCTGCGAAGTTCCCGTAGACATGTAGGAGGAGGTTCACGGGCTGCAACTCGTCAGCCAAGCATGTCCCACACGTGCTCTACTGGATTCAAGTCTAGTGAGAATGCTGGCAGTCCATACGGGTGATATCCTCCGATTGAAGGCATTCGCTTACGATGTTTGCACGGTGAGGACGGCCGTTGTCATCCATAAACACAAATTTGCGTCCATGGAGCACCGAAACAAACGCACATGTTGTTCCAGAATGAAGTCCCGATTGATTTGGCTTGTCACGGTTCCAATTTGAACATGCAGGTCAGTTCTGGAACCCCGAATAATTCCACCCCAAACGAGCACTCCTGCACCACCGTAACGGTGTCGTTCAATGATGTTTCCTTGGTGGTAACGGGTACCTGGAGCTCTCCATATGAAAGTCCGGCGAGAATGAGACTGCAAGCTAAACCTGGACTCGTCGGAAAACATCACACAAGCCCACTGTTGCGGTGTCCACAATGCATGCTCTCTACTCCAGGCTAACCGCAGGCGACAGTGAGTTGCAGTAAGTGGAACGCATCTGACAGGTCTACGAGCATATAGACCAATCTGCCCTAAGCATCCGTACACGGTCTGCCGTGAAATTGTCTTACCAGTGGCTGAAAATAGCTGACGAGACAGATCTGAGGCTGTGCTCCGCCTGTTTCTTTTGGCAGTAACTGCCAAATACCGGTCCTCATTCGGCGTTGTATCTCTGGGGCGACCTGTGCTGTAGCGTCTAATCACATTACCATCATCTTGGTATCATCATCTTGGCCAAAGCCTGGAGATGACACTCTGGGCAGTTCCAATTTCGTCTGATACTTCCAGTTGGGTACGCCCATATTCCAGACGGCCGATAATTCTACCACGTAAAAAATCATCCAAATGCGTCCTTTGTGTCATAACTATTCGGTTATTGCACTGAAATACTTATAAAGGGCCTGCGAACAATTTTACTTCTTTGCCTGTATTCCTTATATATCACACTCTTACACTCTCGTCATTGTGACGTACCATCGGTGTCATCTGGTTACTTCCTGAAATTTTCATATGATTCTTCAAGATGTGTGTAGTGATTTTACAGGTGATATATTTATTTTAGAGTTCGATTTCCGGGTTACTCCGAATTATCCTTAATTTATGGACATGCGTGTATTTTAAGATAATGAAAAACGTTTAAATTGAAAAAGTTTAAAATTTTAATATAAAATAATGCAAGGGTTAAATGCTACGTGGCTTTTTTCCAAAAATTTTAATTCCTGAACTGCACAATAAGGAGTGACTGTTATTTTGACGAAATCATTTTCTCGAAGATTATTTCGTCCTAGACATTGATGTCAATACGGAAGTGAAAAATGTATTATTTTTTAGTATATATTTTGAGTTTCTCCAAAGTATTTGAATGCTAAAGTTACGTTTTTATACAATAACTATAAATCACCTTAAAATAAATAAAAAATAAAATTTAAATTACGTTTTCGATTTCAAATAAATGCCATAAAACAGACAGACTTATTTACTTTGTTTAAGGCGTCTTATTAGAGCCTTAACCACAGTAAATAACTCAGACTGTATTAAAGTAAACTTAA